ACTTCTATTGTGTGCTGATGATCTCTCACTCATGGTCATTTGTTGGTGCTTGATATCATCCTTTGGGGTTGATCCTGTACTTTGCATTGGTGTGTGTGTTTTTCCCCTAATGAGGGAAATCTGGTATCTCTCTGATACCCCAAGTGTATTTAGCGGAATTCTGCTGTACTGCAACACCAGCTAATGGTTATGTGATGAAGTGTATGGAAAGGCAGAGAAAGAATGCCCCCCCAAATTATATATATATATATGTATGTATGTATATGTATGTAAAAGAGCTGATCTTACCTGCAAAGGATCTGGAAGCAGAAGCCTCAGTGCAGTGGGGGCCTCATATAGCACAGGGTCACTGGGCTGGCCTTAAGTGATCTTAGTCTTTTCCAAACAGTCTAAAATACCACCAACCCCTCCAAGCTTACGGATAAAACTAATTGCCTAATACTATAACTTGCCCTCCCAAAAATATTTAAGTAGGTAAACTCCACAAAGCTTTATGAACCTGCTTAGTTTTTTTTGTTTTTTGTAAATATACAAAATTGTACTGCCCATTCTAATTCCGTCATCAAATTGAGTATCATTTCCTTGATCATAAATGTCATTCTAGAAAGCTCCGCTATTGTTTCTGTGCAGTGAATTGAAAAAAAACATTCTGTTGATGACTATATCTGGGAAAGCTGTTCAAAATGAACAAATCATATTCTGTTCAAACACACACAAATATTTCATGAACACCTTCAGACTGAGATGAATCTGTTGAATCTTGATAGCTATAAATAAGTTTCAGTATCTTATACTGTATAGCTTATTGAAAAATGTTTAACCTAATATTTGTTGTTATATTTAGGAGACTGTGTTTAGCAATTCAGTTCTGAATATTGATGTTTCTGGTGTATTTCTTATATTTTTCAGAGTCCATTGAAATGGAATGCATTTGTCCAAATGTACCAACATATCCCTTTTTCTTTTGCTTCACAAAAGCGTCTTGCTTCAGACATTAACCATTGATTTGTATTACAGAAGTAAAAAAATGTGTGGCTTTTTCTCATAAATTGCCAGTACTTTTAGATAAAACACTATCAGTAGATAGGTGTTTTTCCTGGGTGGGAGGGAATACTTCTTAGGAGGCCTCAATAGTTGCTGGGGGAAGTGCTAGGCCCTCCCTAAACACCTGCAGTCCATGTGAAAGGAGTATTTTGCCCTTTAGGCAAGGGAAGTAGCCAAGAGCTTAATTCTACAGGCTACTCCCAAGTTTAGAGTGGAGTCAAATGTTAGCCTGCAACCTCTGTGATGAAAAAAAGGATCTGATTATTATTGGAAAAAGATCGCACTTCTTCTTTGAGGTACAAAGGGTATATATACTAGCTTGTGCCATGCTAACTTGCCTTTGTTATTACCCCTTGACTTTTTGCCTTGAAAAGTATGTCTCTCTGCAAAACAACGGAAATTACTGATGGCACTGATTGTGTCTCTTTCTGCTCCTACTTGCCTGATCATTTTTGTGGGCCTGCAACAGACACGTGGTCCTTCCACTGGAGAACAAAAAACAATGGCTGTGTTGTCCTGTTGCTAAGAAATACTGCAGAAATTAAACTTTAATTAAACTAAGCATTGGAGATGGTGGCTCAGTGGTAAAGGGCACGTTCAGCTTGCAAAAGGACATGCTCTCTGCTCCATCCTTGGTATTCCTCTTGTAGGCTGGGTAAGGCTCCTTCCTTAAATTCTAGAGATCCATTGCTTCTTTGTATATATCAGGGGTGGACAGCTTTGGTGGGTTTGGAATCCACTAGGGTTTGCATCTACCCCCTGCTAAAATTGCTGCTGAATCTTGGAGGTGAGGAAAAAAAAAACAAAACACCAGATTTCTACTTTAAGGTGTGCAGTGAGCGTCTGCCTGTTTTAATGCAGAATTGCACTCCTGGGGGCCTTGAAGGCTTACACCTTATTTAAAAGTAAAAATGTAGCCTTTTCTTAGCCCTGTGAATTTTTTAGCTACTAAAATTAAGTGGTAATTCAGTGCTGCAAGAGAAATGTGTGGGTGAGCAAAATTAGGATGGTGTACACTTCTTTGGACTAGAGACCACTTCGCTGGCTGCGTGGAATGTCATTCTGATTTCCTATTTAGACATGGATGGAGCAAGTTGGGGGAAAGGGCCAGTGAGGTCAGGGTTTGCTTTTTGGAGCTTTGTTTTGCCTTAGCTGTCTCTTTGATCAAGGAAGTACGATGATGATGAGACCTCCTACACAGCTGGGTAGCTCTAGATCTTCAGGGGACTTGCACTGACGACTTTAAGGCACAGAGGCTGCTTATCTTATTGTAGGGATTTTGTGCGATGTGAGAGATTCAGTGTATGCTTCTGCTTTCTTGCTGTGATGCAATGCATGGGCTTGACATACTGAGGGAAACTATAGAGCGGAGGTCCTTTGCATGTTCTCTAATATATAGTTATGCACCTCAGTGGAATTATTAAATACTTGGGAATATTAAAGTTTTATCATTGATTAGTTGTGTGGCCCATGTAAACAGAAAGCAGAGGCGGATGCTTACCCTTGCAGGAGCAGTGCAGAGCAAGAGAGGCAGGACTGGTTTGTCTGAGCCAGTCTGCATTCTGGGAAAGCGCCTTGGATCGCTACTACAGTCTGCTGTGGTGATCAAGTCTTTGATCGAGGAAATAGCGTGATGATGAAGTGCTGCATGGAGGTGGCTTCCAGTGGTATTCGTCTGGCAGCCACTCAACAAGGCCAGCAAATGCTGCTTGCCAAGCAGGACATGAGCCATGACGGGTGGTTTCGTCCAGGCCTAGATGACACAACCACACTATGTGGGTCAGACAAACCCTACTGTAAACCAGGGCTAGTCAGGGTGGCTTGTAAACTTCAAATAAGCCAACATGACAAATCAATCCTGGGTTCCTATGAGATGACTACCCGCTGGGGTTGTTGTGTTGTGTGAACCCAGTCTACAGATGGGATCCAGCCTTGTGTTGGGTTTAATGACAAGGCTAAATCAGCCTGTGTTGTTAAATACATAAGTAATAATTTTAATACCCACTCACTGAAAGGAAATAATTCGTTCAGCCCTCCATTTTGACTCGAGTTTGAAATGTTCCTCTTAGTTCATAGTTGAGCATTAACATAGCTCCTCAATCCAATATCAGCCATTACAAAATGCAACTTTCCTTGCCATACCTGCCTTTTGCCTATATTAGAAGTCATCAACTTTTGTGTAATAACAGCCGTCAACCATTAGATACCAAACATTAAGAGTAACGAATCATTCACAAGCAATGGTTTATGTCATACATATGCAACTTTGGTAGTTCTGCTGAAGTGCATGTAGATACATGTGTGCCGCCCTGTAACTCAACCATTATGAATACATTTTGAAATGCTGTAATCATTAAAAACAGTTGGACACAGTACCCCTGCAGCAGAATGCAAATTAAGCCTACAGTGGTTCACAAAGGAAGGGTTGTGTGAAAGAAAAATAAAACAAGGGAATTTGTTACATTATGCATCTGCTGAAATCAAGTATCTCAGTGTAATTTATAAAGAGCACGGCCAGCTGCTGCTTTATCTATGGAGAGTTGCTGAATTTTAATTCCTTGTTCTAGTTTAGACTGGACTTGTACTGCAACAATGAATACTCTGTATGTGCCTTGCAAACCTTGCTTGGGACAAGAGGTGTCCATTCCAGAAAGCTATTACAAAACATACAAGCACAAAACAACAAAAATATTTTGTACGATAGGAGCGCAAGCTCTTCAAAGTTTAACTATGCTTACATTTTAATGAATGATCTGCTTTCATTCTTACCAAATTATTGTTTCATATTCAAGATTATATCTGAATGAGCTCTTGTCTTAACACTGACCCAGATAATTCTCCTTAGACTTAGTGCATAACTCGATATTGGCTGGGTTCACACATAAGAGCAACCCATGCTCGGGGGTTATTATATTC